GCAAGGGCAAACCACTTCTGAAAAAACCTTGACCAAGAAAACTGCAGGGACTTGCCCAGGCAGTCTACCAAGAATCCAACACAATTGAACGGATTAAATAAATTAAATAAAAGAATAAATATGCTGTCTACAAGGCAACTAAGCTAGCAAAACAAGATTATATGTGGAATATTACAAAATGTGCATACAAATGCAGACTGGTTAGGAAACCACTGTTCTTCCTCTGGCACAGATTATATCTCTTGTCTATAGCTTGCCATTAATACTGTAGATATCAATATTTCTACTATACATATAAATAGGATTAGAAACATTAATCAACTCTTCCTCCTTCTGCACAGCTCACACTATATATTTTTGGCCAATATTTTAGTGTCAGGAAGATTTCAAACTATAGGTTGAAAGCTCAAGGCAAATAATTATGGCAAATGGGCAACTTTTTTGACTTTAAAGATTACCTTCCCATGAAGGCTGCACATGTTCATAGATTTGTCCAGCTACAAAGGAAAGTTAAAGCTCCCTTTTTCTTCCAGCTAAAGAGAGAGAGAAAGAGAGCAATCCACAAATAGCATATCCAGCACCCTATCTGCATCTCCTACAGCACTGAGTATTGAGAGTTTTGGACCCATTTATTATTACTGGTAGTTGAGGGAAAATTGGGGGTAGGCCATGCAATAGTATAAGGCATTCTTTAAACATTTCAAAGTACCTCCAACTTGGACAAACCTCTGCAAGGCTTACAGCCCTAGTTTTGCTCCTTGAAATACTCCCCACAAAAAAAAAAAGTCACCAAAATTTGGCTCTGTTTGCTCCAATGGAAATAGGAAGTACATTCCCAGGCTGAAAAAGATTGCTTACCTCCTTACAGCACACACCCCCACCACTGAAAATCCTGTTTTTGGTAGGCCTAGTAATCATACAGTGCATACAATTCTGTGGGTTGTTTGTGAGAGAGAATGATCGGTATATTCAGATGAGAATTGGCTTTTTAAAAAATACACACCTATTTTATAAGTACTTAATGTTAATTAGAAAGTATGAAGACGACTTATATACATATTAAGATACATATTCAGATTACATGTACACACGGTGGAATCTCTAAATTTGGTTTCAGATCGATCTGGCAATTCTATATTGGAAAGCTAGACTAATTTTTGTCTTTTTCTTTCTATCCCTTTATAGGTAGGACTGCATAATTTTAGGTTCCAGCAAATATGGGAACTAGGTTTATGGCATTTGAGACATTACTTTAATGCAGTGTTTCTTAAACTCTTTGCTGTCAAGACCCCTTCCCACTTTTAAAAATTATGAAAGACCCCAAAAGACCTTTTGTTTGTATGGGTTATATTTATCAATATTTACCATATTAAAAATTAAAATTGACACATTTGTAAAATATTTATTGAATCATGTAAAAATAACAATAGGAACATACTTTAAGAAACACTGCTTTAACATTTCTTGGTTGATAATTCATATTATTAGAAACACAAACAGCATTCAGTTTATACAAACCAAGAATTTAGAGCAACATAATTCCTTCATGAAACTTCCACCCATTGCTTCAGGTGCTATGGAGAATAAATACACACTCTCTTCTTTGTGACAGCCTTTCAAATACTGGAAGACTGCTATCATTTCCTCTGTTCTTTTGGCTAAACATACCCAGTTCCTTTAACCATACTTCATAGTATTTAGCCTCCATCTTTGTTACTTTGTCACTCTTCTTTGCACTCTTTCCTGTTCCTTCATGTCCTTCGGAGTATGGTAGAAATCAGGACTAGATACAGTATTCCAGATATGCTTTGACTGGTGCAGTGTAAAACAAAATTATTGGTTCCTATGAACTTGATGCTGTATCTCTATTTATGCAACCCAAGATAGCACATTGGTTTTTTGGGCAACTGGAGTACAGGCTTATGCTTAATTTGTGATCTTATCAGGACACCCAGATCCTTCTACTGCTGGGCCAGGTACTGTCTATCTTGTACCTGTGCATCTGGTTTTGGCTGTCTAAGTGCAGAACCTTGCATTTCTCACCACTGAACTGCATATTGTTGGATACAGCCCAAAGTTCAGGTCTATCAAGATCCTTATGAGCCTCTCTTCTGAGGTGTTAGCAATTCCCCCTTGCTTTGTGTCATCTGCAAATTTGATTAACATCCCTTTTATCCCCTCATCTAAGTAATTTATTAAAAGATTGAAGAGCCCTTAGCCCTGGAAAGAACTCACAGATAAACCACTTCATACATCCTTCACATAGTCATAGCTCCATTAAGGGTATGGTTGTTCATCCAAGTATGAATCCATCTGGTAGTAGTATACTCATCCCACATTGTTCCATTTTATTAAGAAAAAGGCTATTATCAAATGCCTTACTAAAGTTTAAGTACATTAAATCTACAATATTCCCTTAGTCTACTAATCCAGTCATTATGTTAAAAAAAAAAAAAAAGACAGCTAAGATTTGTCTTGCATGACCTATTTTTAACAACCCCCTCCTGACTTTTAATAATCACATTGTTCTTTTCTTTCCAGTGCTTGAGGATCTTAGTATTTTCCCAGGTATTGATATAAAGTTGATTAGTCTGTAGTTATCAGCTCCACTAGGCTGACCAAACCATGAAATCAACTCCACATCTCTATCTCTATAGAGACTGGCTATAATAACAGAACCTTGCAGATCTAATTGTGCTGTACCTCCTCCTCCTTCTTGTAGTTCAGTGAATTATGGAGATGTCTGTCTTAGCTGCTTCCAAATATTATCTGGACTTAAAAAACGTTTTAACCTTTTTTGCCTATGCAACAGCACCCGCATCTCTCTGTCAACGTCATCTTCCTGGATCTGATTTTTACCCTTTTTAAAGATTGGAACATTAGCTCTTCTCCAATCTTCTTACACTTCCCCTGTACTCCAGGAGTTCTCAAAAACCAGTCAGTGGTTCTGATATCACATCCACCAGTTCTTTTAGCATCCTGGGATATAATCCATCTGCTCCCAGAAACTTGAACTCATTCAAAGCAGCTAGGTTTTCTCTTATTCCTTATTTGATCCACTTTTCTCTTCTGCCCTCCACAGCGTGGCTTGTAACTTTTTTGTGTGTAACAAGACAGGAACAAAATAGGAATTAAATAGCTCAGCCTTCTCCCTGTTGCCTGTCATACTCTTGTCATTTTGTACAACCAGAAGACCAGCTGCTTTTTTGACATTTTTTCTAGTTCCATACATACTCAACACTTTTATTTTTGGTGTTCACTGCAAGTCTTGACTCATTCTGAGCCTCAGCCTTCCTGATTCTGTCCTTACATATTTGGGCTATTCCATGATATTCTGCTTTTATTATATACCCTTCTTCCCATTTTTAAACTTTTTCTGTTTCTTAGTTTATCAGAAAGCTCTTTATGCAACCACACTGGTTTCATCAAATTTTCCCATTTTTCTTTCTCTCTGGTTTTGTATTTGAGTTAATTATTTTTCAAAATTTTCCAACCCTCCTAAACCATTTTCCCCTTCAGGATTTCCATACATAGATACCTTCCTACTTTTTCCATAACCTTACTAAAGTCAGCTCTATCAGCTATTTGGCTACCATCCGTTCTCCCCACAGCAGTATGATGAGTTCTAGAACCACACAGAATTCTTTCACATTCTCTCCCAAGGTTTCTAAAAGTTGCACTTCTTTAATAATTTCTGTCCTGTTAAATCTAGTACAGCTTATCATTTATCTTTTGGACAATGAAGTTCTGCAAAGCACATTAAGAATCCTATTGGCTCTCCCAGTTACTGCAGATTTAGATTCCCAGTTGATGCCAGGGTATTTGAAATCCGCCATTAGCATAAGGGTTATCTATATCTTCTGCTTTGTTGGGTGGCTGCAGTACACACCAACAGTGTCATTTTTAGGGTCTTTCCCTTAATTTTCACTCAGACACTTCCAGTAGGTTTTCATGCTATAAGTTTATTTATTTATTTAGTTTAGTAATTCCTCAAGAAGTGACAGTAGATCACTCTGAGAGAACAATCTAATTTGGTAAAAGAGGGAGAGGAATGATTAACATCCACAAAATAAACCCCTATGAGATGGGTCACCAAACTGTATGCCAAAATGTAATCCCCTAAGCATGGAGAATCCTCATAAGTAGTGATGGTCACAATTTACCAAAGGCAGATACACTGCAGGATCTGAAGGCCTAAATGGCCAGCTGGCTGCCATTTTCCTCCCACTGTTGACGAGGTGTGCCTGGCCTGAGCCGAAAGCATGCAAGGCAACTGCCGGCCATGTCAGACCTTCTTCCCGAGGCTGCTCACACCATTCCTTCTCCAAATCCCGTGTCCCATTCTTGCAATCCTTCGGAAACCTTCTGGTCTTTCCCAGGTCTCACAAGAATGGATGTGCTACTTGGAGAAGGAATGGGGCGTGCAATTTGGAGAATGAGGTCTTCTGAATCACTGTGAGAATGGGGCTCCTGCCATTCTCCAAATACCATACCTGTTCTCGTGAGACCTGGGGAAGACCAAAAGGTTACTGAAAGATCACGAGAATGGGGCACACAATTTGGAGAAGG